TTTTAGTGATGTCGGGTATATCTCGGGTTTATATTTCCTTTTCTAGTTTTCAAATCTATGAAGTTTTCGTTAGAATCTATGTATTTTTCATTCCAATTAATGAACAAATTGCTTCGCTATTTGGTCATTCGATTTAGCGCAACACGATTTTCTGACATCGCGACGGTGTACTTTTTAGCATTCTAATTCATTTGTAGCATTCAACTTAGCACTTTGTGCACTAAAATTAATGGTCAATATACATTTCTCGTTTTTTAAACACTTTTTATAGCTCATTCTTTTTCTTTCAAGATCGTTTTTTCATGTGCATTTTATCCTATTTTATTTTCTTGCATTTATACTCTTTATATACTTTTAGATTTATCACATATTCATCAGCCTTTAAGTTTGATTGTTAAAAAAAGACTTACTGTACATCTACGGACTTGATGGTCTCAATATTTGTGTAAATTTTCATGTAAGGAAGTTGTTTGTCTTGTGTTTCATCATAAATTTATCACAATTTCATTATGGAGGAAGGGTACAATATTGTGACTGGGGTAGGTGTTTTTGTATTCCCACTTTTCCGGGGTATATGAACATGTCCGTTCAGAGATGCCATATCCCTTGATTTCGCCCCTTCTTTACCCATTGTCTGACTACAAACATATGCTTTGTCCTCAAAATTAATGAATTGAATAACAGAAAAGACCCCAATAGCAAATCATGTATTTAATTGCATTTTTTTAAAGCTATAAACGTGTTTTGCATTTCTTCCCCCTAACATTCCTAACTTGAATAAACATAATTCGAATACGAATGACAGGACTGGTGTTAATTTGAATGATAAAAATGACGCCTCGACAAGTGACGATTAATTTGAATGCTAGTCGTGCAGTTTTTTAATTGAATGACAGATCTATGAAATGCTTCGTCCAGAATCCTAAATTAAATACAAAATCGGGAAAATTGAATGATATTTGGCATGGCAAAGCTGATCTGCGCTAACTTAAATGCAAAGTAAATGAATTCGAATGACAAACTCGCGAATTTGGCCGGGAAATCCTATATTATACTCATGCTATGTTTAATTGACATTGTACATACGTCAAAGGTCTTTAACGACGCGGATGCGGAAATGGATTATCCCACATCTGATACACATGATTACAGCACACCCCAATAACACACAATTTATCCAACCCACTCACCTCGCACTAATCTACCTAATTTCCTATACTAATGGTTTGTTTACTTTACATAGTACATAATTCCAGTTGGCTGCATCAAACATGTATTGAATGAATAATGAATGGGTCTTTTACAGGACTTTCTTCAGTTTTAAAGGCATTTTTGATAATTTCATTTGCTTCTCGTGTAATGTAGACTATATAGAACTCAATACATGTACCTCTCGACTAGATTTGATGGTAATGTCCTGAAAACGTAACGCTTGTGACAGCCGCATTGCTGAGAGTAAATGTACTAATAAAATAATTGATATCTTTGTTAAGTTCCTGTATTATTTTATTGCTGATCATGTACTCGGATCTGGTTTGCATGAAATGCGTTTCTTGGCTTCCCATTAGAGTAGGGAAGCTTCACAATTAGAACTGTACGAGTGTACCGTGAGCATTAAGCATACAACTACCGATGAAGCAACATTTTCACGACATACTTATATCGACCTTATAATAATAGTGATACTGTATTTCGCCCATGTGGAACCTAAGCATTTAGTAAGCGTAATGTGCCAAAATATTAATTAATGCTTTTCCTTGAAATAACTCGTTTCTTTTACGCGTTTTTGTATACTTCATGATCAATAAATGAATCGATTCTCCATGTCCTGTTGCTAAAAAAAACAGTGGAATATACTTTCTCTCTTGATGGAATACATTTTGGGGAAACAGGATTTTATCACTAACAATTATGATTATACTGACGACACTAAAGGGAAAAAATAACTTTTGTGCCCTCTAATAATATTTGCATTATTTCTTGAAGTTGACGGAGTTATAAGTAGATATAAATGGCGTATGAAATGTATGCAAACAAAGTGCTATTTCACTGTGATTTATAGTAATGTGTAACTTTATAGCTGCATTGTACATTACATTCATTTCAGAAATAGTAGATAGAATTTAAATTCATCTTTTCGGTTGAAATTATCTAAATTGTTTCCTTTGTAGTTGTTCCTTTGTAGATTTCCATGGTAATTACTCAGTCTGCACGCACGTATATCGTACTGTATATATTTAAAAAAAGTATAACAATTTACCATTGTTGTTGGACATATCATTATGTCAATAAGTGGTCCATCAATTTTACAGGTTCCCCGTTATTGTTTCGAATGTGAAAAACTACACGTAGATCTCACTTTTATGATGATGAATATACATGTATTCCACAATATTCTTCTATCAAAAAGGTGGCGTTAATAATAAAGAGGAGGGAACAATTATGGCTACTCAACTGCTTTAAGTCTTATTATGTTTTTGTAATATGCATATATAAATGCGATATCAATACAATACAGAATACATATATTCAGGATTGTTTTTCTTTCTTTTGGTTTTGTTGCTATGAAATTGTTTTATAGAATGTTAAGTTGCCCTTATTCTTCTTATAGGACATGTATATACTTGAAGTCGGTATGCCGCGATGGTAGTTAGTGTATCTAGCAAGACGGCGATATGTTCTCTGAATGCTAATACGAGGAAAAAAAAGTACAAGTAAACTGTTGCCACTTTATTATCTCATAGAATGTTCCTTTTATTTTATTTGGCTTGTATGTATTGCTTAAATTCAGTATACCGCTGTGTTAAGGGATCAGTAGGTTTTGTCTATTCCGCCTCACAGTAAGACGGGAATTGTATGTTCTCGGAAAATTGGAATCTGAATGGTCATACAAGGAAACAAGTACAAGTACATGTATCATGAATGGCAAAGTGAAGTGTTCTGTACAACTACTATCTATATCGGCACTTAAGTAAATATGAAAACAGCCCAGTTTACTCTGTTGAAATTCACATGTTTCTATTCTTTAGATTATATTCAAATGCGTACTTTGAAAAGTCATGATTTTAGCTGCATTTTTGTGTGTGGAAATTAAATGTGATAAAACCCCCGCACTTAATTTTTGTAGCGTGTTGATCTGTCCAACGAAGTAAAGGAGTATCAAACATATGTTAAAGGTGACATTATTTTTATTTAAAGGTGACCCATGCAATGCACATGTACATTCTACAGATCTGTATAGGTCTGTAAATCAACAAAACTTTTGATTGTTTGATAAAAATAAATATACAATTAACAATTATCTGCTATTTGTCGTCAGTCTGCCAAGCCCCGTCCTATACAAATCCCCTAACACGTTCGTGCCCTTTTTGATATCACAGCAAGCTAAAAAAAAAAGCCGAAGTAGGTGCACTTGCAATTTAATAGCATCTAATGTTTTCGCAGAATACCATCTAAAACTAATTTTGTTTGTGATACAACTGGAACCTGCATGTCTGACATTTCAATGGCTGTTGAGGTTGTGAGATATTGTGTAAACAAATGATTGTTGACATTCACTGAAGATATGAAGGTTCAGACCGACAGTACACCGCATGATAAATTGCATTATCCCAATTGATTGATTGATTAGTTGGTTGCTTTGATTCATATTTCATACAAATAATAACGAAGAATAATACATTTTACAAAACATTTACATTTCTTTAAGTAATATGGAAATAAAAAATACTGAATCATATTAATTAAAATCATGAAAGAACGTTATGTAAGTCATTTGGTATTAAAAATCGCAAGTGAACCTTTTAAAAGCTATAGGCTTGCTGCGGGTAGGTTCCCTGAATTAAACTACTGACTTGATATACAGGAAAATTCAACAACAGAAAACACATACACCAGACTGAGACATAAAGATAAATGAAACAAAATACAACATGTTACATCTAAGAGTGGTAGAGAGAGAGAGAGAGAGAAAAAAAAGGTGAGGTAGAGAGAGAAAAGGGAATAAATAAGTGGATAGATAGGTTGATAGATAGATAGTAAGGTGGTCAGATGGATAAAGATAGAGAGAGAGAGAGAGAGAGGAATGGGGGCGATAGATATTAGCCAAGAATCAGTCGGTTTGGAGTCGGTTTGTTGGTGTGTCTACCTGGGAAATGACATGAGAAAATCAATTCTTCAGGGGGAAAAAAAAGGAAAATGGATGTCTCCGAGACAAAATTTTGATCGGCTTCATAGGCCAACTTTACCCCCAAAATGGGCCTACCGATTAATTTGGTATTTGTATGGAAAACATAAATATACCCATGGCACATATTGACACAGATTGCGTCATATTTACATTGACTTGCTTGGTACAAAAGGACGTGCTCACATGAAACGGGCTGTATAGCCCCTTTTGGACCCCGTTACGTTGAGAGTCATGCCAGCCCAGACAATGGTCAGGTAACATTTTTTTCTTATTCAGACCCAATTTGTGTATATAATTTCTGTAATTCTTTTTTTGTTAAATATTATCGCTTAATGACCATGAGTAGTTAACGCGACGTAGTCTAATACCCCCGGATACACTAATGTATGCATGCTTCGATTTAAAAAAAGAAACATCTTGACAACCCCACATCCTTCCAGAGACCTGCCAGACAAAGCATCAGATAGTGTATGCAAAATGCATGTCATTTAAAGTCGTGTTTTTATGCTTAGAAGGCAAAGAAACACAAAAGTCAAGCGATTAGTATCGTAACCAGGTGTTCGGGAGAGAAATATGTATATATTTATAAAATACATCAGTAAACAGGTGTAGGCTTGTAAATTTTACTTCATAATTCTAATGATGAGGTGAAGTTATACAATTTATACCCACAGGTGAATATTTGGAAATGTTCATTTCATTATTAGAAATGATGCTAACGGTCACAGGGTGAGTGAAAGACTAATTTTGGAATGCTGTAAGATGACGGTAGAGGATAACCTTTCGTCGTAGGGGAATCCCCATTAGGTCATCGAGGTGACTCTCGCGCAGAACGCGCACACACAGGTACACACGTAGCTACCCCTCGATTGTGAATGTGCATAGACCTCTACCAAAACGTTCATGTTGTGTACATTCACCGACTCGATTAATGATAAATGGGTTTTGGTACTTATTTTTTTATTCGAGGCGGAGAACGGGAGGCCATAGTCGTCGAAAGATTCATTCAACTGACCGTTGAAATGTAACGGGTGAGTAGACAGTAGACACACTTATTAAACGTTGTATTTTTCATTTGTTATGTGTGGGACGTTATAATATTATTTATATTCACTTTCAGCTTCTTTGGCTGTGTCATGATTATAAGACAGCTGCATATTAGACGTTGTGTTCGCTTATCGCAAGATAATTATCATATTTCACAGTGAAATAGATAAATCAATAATAATGAATAATACTGTACATCATTTAAGGATTTCTGTTGTTCTTGCTTGTTGTCCCACGGTATACGCTCCTGGAATATCCGGTAGTATTCTCATACATATTTCCGGTTGAAAAATAAACATAATGTTTCAGTCAAGGTTCACAGAGCATGTAAAAGTAATCTTTCAAGGGCTTGGCAGTCTCTTTCTGGTACAATTTTACCAATCCCATGTTAATATTGTTATTTGAATGTAAACAAAATCTTTGTAACTATGGCTCGTTCACTTTTTGCACTTGTTGTTGTTGTTGTTGTTCTGTTTGCATTTGCCAGGCACCTTCCTCTCTTTTGTATGGCAGGTATTCGCCAACGTGGTCAAATAGTTTAGTGCAGAGAAAACGCTTCGGAAAATAACCGTGTAAAAGAAAAAAAAATTATTTGATTTTATTCATTGATTTCTTTATCATTTTCCCGGAAAAGGGAAGGAGTGGAGGGGTTGGGGGGGGGGGGGGTTCAGACTTGGTTTATACTGGGGTGTACAACTGAAGTCTCCAAACCTGTACCCATTAATTCTAAGGTTCATTAAGGATCAATAAAAGTGTAACCATGGTCAGGACTTTCGATGGAAAAGTGAAATGATTTCAATGTTTGCATCTGGGATTTGCACTTGAGCGAGAATTAGGGTGAGGTGTTTTTATTCTGAAGAAAAAAAGTGATCCATGATTAAGGCCGAGTACTAAAAGTTGGTCCATACTTATAGAGCTTCAAGCGTAGAAATCATTCCCCATGTTTATGATTATTTTTGGGGCCCCAAAAGCGACTGAAAGTAGGAGCACATCCCTGTATACCTTATTAGGCGAGCAGGGCTCCCTCCCTATGGGTGATTATGAACAAAATATATGGTTGACATTTTGAAGCTACTGAATCGTATAAAAGGAAAGGAATATTCATATTGTGGTTTTACAGAAGGAAAACAACGCCGGTAAAAACTTATACTCGCAAACTTCAAATAGAAGGACATTGAAAGAAAGAGAGAGAGAGAGAGAGAGAGAAAGAGAGAAATAGAAAGAGAGAAAGAGAGAAGAGGGGGTGGGGTGGAGAGAGAGAAGGGGGAGAATAAAAAAAAGAGAGGGAGAGAGACGTGATAAGAAGTGGATCGTAGAGGAAATAAGGACACAAGGGTCTAGATTTTAAGCGGTTGACATATAAATATTACAATTTAATGTGTCGACTGATCAAAATTCGTATGCAAGATAACAAAGCTCAGCAATTGTCATTAGATCTTCGTATAAATTCATTGATATTTTTTTGTTCTTTGTTTGTTTTTTAATCTCACTGAAATCATTCATCCAATTTTCCCGTCAGAATTTGACAAATATTGCTTTTAGATTGATTTTAGATTTCCTTTTGGACTATAAATTACTTTTAGATAATGATTGCAGAGTACACGTATACCAATTATGATAAATTTGAAGCTTAATTTCCTTTATACATGTTAGTGAATAGAGTCAAATTTTACCAAAAATGAATATACGTTCTTCTTTATATCTAGAGCTAGAGTTACTTCCCTTGAACACGTGGTAATTTCATTCGGATATGGAGAAGAACAGCGAGGAAATGCAGGGAAACGGAGAAGGAAATGAAACAGATGGTACCAAAGAGGAAGAAAATATGCGGGCTGCAGACAGCGGAGATACAGAGAATGGCGTAGTCCAAAATGTGGCTGATGGTATCAAGGCAGAAGGTCCTGAAGGTGGGCATATTCGGCTTGAGTTATCTGCGATTGTTAACTTTGTTGAATTCATACGTGAATATAAGCTGTGCAATTACTTTTGCATAATTTCAAAATGAAAATTGTACCCCGACCCGACCCCGACATTAGAATGAATAATCAAGACAATCAATGTTGTGTTATTTCTCGATATTTAATGATATATAACATAATCAAAATAGTAAAGAAAAATAGGACTCTTTATTCTATTCTTTGCTCATTAGGATTTACCGACCAGACAAGTTAAGTAGTTGCATATTTCTCCATCATTTTGCAATAATCTGAGTATTAAACATAACCATAAATGTTCTTTTTTGCAACTGTCACTATTGTTCGCAGTAAAAGAATGGACGGTTTATTCAATTCTTTGTTCATAAGAATTTACCGATAACATTAGCAACTTTAATTGTATTTCTTTCCATCATTTAATCTGCTTAAACTCTAAATATAACTGCCATTTTATTGTTCGTGGTATATTTCTTCCTTCATTAAGTGAAGAAATTGAGAGCTTCAATTCGGATACCGACTCTCCTGAAAATCACTTTGAGTTAAACAAAATATTTGTATTTTTGTTTACACCTTAAATGAAAAGTATTTTTTTAAAGGAATGAACATCATTTTTGTTGTTACGTGACTTTATTGTCCGTTTAAAGATAAAATAGAGCTCTAGACATGCAGTATTATGAAATCAATAATTGGGACAGATTGGTTATGTAGTAAATAAGAATAGGTATTTAGTGTAGGACTTTGTAATCGTCAAAATGATACGAAGTTGACTCGGTCTAGTTAAAGGGCACTGGCCCTTCACGCAAAAATAGGTATGTGGGACTACTCACACATGTGGCCTGATAAGTTTAGTCCAAACACGTCAGGAATTTCTCATCATATTTCGAATTTGAGGGTATTTGTCTAAGCGTGGCAAAATATCCCCCTTATGCGTAGACTAATTGCATGACGATCTCTTACCACATTTAATTACAATTATATTCAAATATTGTTGAATCTTTTGAAGTGATGTTGCTGTGAGTATCAGTCCCTGAACAGTTCTCATTTAGTGGTGATTTATTCCATTTGGAAAATTATTAAGAATAGTTTAAAATACTCAAACATTATTGTTGCCTATGCGACAATCTGGAGAAAAATATCAAGTCCCTAGAAGTCTGCTAACTTCTGCTTGGATACTTTTTGGATACAGAGTTCGAGGAGCTGAATGCCACTGAAGATAACAATATTCCACAAGGGAAGACAGACCAGACAGATGCCTCGAATTCAGAAGTCTCAGAGCAGGCGGAACCTGTGTCGAATCCAGGTAGGTTTGAATTGACCAACATTCTCACACTTAATAGTGAACAGCGTTAAACCTCTGTGGCGTGTAGGCAACCAACGATTTAAAGTTGTCACCCCCTTAATATATTGCAAAGTAGACATGTACTCGTGTGCATTCCTTCTTCCGTTTTTACTTTTCATTGATTGTAGAGACGGCATGACGTAAACATTTATATGAAAATGAAGTCACTAGAAGTCTGTTAAGCAATACTTGATAACTTTATTGTAATCAGAAATCGAAAAACCAAGTATGAAGACCCCAATTCATACAGCAACATAATGAAGTAAATGTATCTAGAAGCAGGCATAATAATGTTTATTATTATAATAATAATAATAGTGGGTTCTAGTATAGCGCTCATGTCTGTCAGACTTGACACTCCTGGCGCTCCCGATTATACATAAATAAATATAAATATATATATATATATATATATATACATATTTACTAAAGGTGTATTAAATTTTTTTTTATGAAAGGTCAGTTATCGTGGCTGCTAAGTGAAGCGAATTCCAACTTGAAAATGTAAGCGTGATTGTTGAGCATGAATTTATGTTAAATTTCCACAAAATTTATTTACAAAATAAAATACTGCATGACTCTTGCACTATCGAACGAGAAAGAACTTTGCTATTGCGGTATGATAACATTTTTAGCGATATGATTTATACGCACAAAATCTCGATTTTCCCGGGTTTTTTATTCTTCCTTAATCCATTGTCACACATGATTATTAACATCTAATTACTACATGTATCATATCAGTACAGGTTAGTCGTACTTTCATTCAAAAATATTCACATAATAAATGTCATTTTAGATACTCCTACCGAGAAAGATGGAGAGGACCTCTTTGAGTATGTCATCAAAGAAATTCCTGTATCCATCTCAGTGTGTACATCGGCGTATGACTTCAACGTACAAGGCATTGTGTACTTCTTGAGAGATATCATGAAAGATCATCCGGAACTGATCAAAGAAGTGAAGGTCCATGCGCTACCGTACAACGATCTCGATCATTATAAATTTCCAAAGGAAAACCCAGTTGATGTGATGCTTCTGTGCCACTCCATCAACAACAGAGGGTTTAGAATCACAGACGTCATGGATGCCCTGTACGATGAGTACCTTCCATACTGTGCGAGGGTCGTAGGTAATCACTGATCCTTCCTAAGTAGAACGTCTTGCAGGTGATGCACTGCAGGAAAGTCTGTTTGCATGATTTGTAAGATGGTGAATTAAGGGATGTCGCGAGATCATTTGGATTGTAGGGTTTGTCTGACCACATTTGCAGACAAGCTAGCTGAATATTCCCCCAAAAGGGTCGTCATATTTCCAAATTATTTTCCAAATGGCGACAAGGGCAAAGGTAAAAAGTGGAAGTGGCTCTAAATATATGCAACTCTTCCCTTCACAGATTATTTTTTTCAACGAACAAAAAAAAAAAAGTTTTTGGACTTGCCGATAAAGAGCAAAATGTAAAAGATTGAAAACAGAGATTTTCCTGGGGGGAGGGGTGTGCAATTTTCAAGACATCCTTCGAACGACGCCCCAGAAGTTCGTAGTGTGGCATTTGTTCTTTATTGATAATGTTTTGTGTGTGTGCGATTCTGTGTAATTCGATAGGTCTGAAAAGGGGCATTGTTTACGATCATGTTAACAAAATAATTTGTGATTATTAAAAAGTTCACGACAACATAATGTCCATATAATCAATTCTATGTTGTAAAATTCTGGAATATTTTTTTCTATTTTCGAAAAATCCTGTTTTCTGACATTCCAGGAAAGAACAAGATGGGGGTGATCGTCCATGACTTTGATGATATGAGAGAAACAGTTCAATCATCTCGCATGAGTTCATTCAGGTACAAGCAACCAAAGGCCTTCGAGACTACCAGCCTTCAGATAACATGTGGACACATCAAGGAGAAAGAGCAGGTCCTAGAACAGATGCAAGAAGTAGACCGAGAAAAGCTCCTTGAGTTCCTGAAGAATGCGTCAAAATGTCCCGAAGAAATGGTTGCGAATCCAAGCTTATTGAAAAAGGCGTATTCCAGTAAGTTACATATGGACAAAATCTGTTTTTTTTTCTGCTGTGATTTTCTTTTAGTTCTTCATTATATGTAATTCATAAACAAAGGCTAACAAACATAGCCCATAAAATGTCAATGATTTATGAAACTAAAGTTGTCTTTATCCGCTCTAAACCCTCATCCACTAACGACTAAACGAGTCCTGGAAAACCGCGCTACCAGCAATGATGTGATCTGACGATTTATTGACAATCACTTCATATAGCAAATGATGACATTCACTGGGCAAAATACATGCCAGCAGAGTTCACAGTGATGCAAATTGATGCTTGAATGCTTTTGATGCATACACTAATCTTAACTCACAATTCCTTTATGACCCTCGTGGTACACAATCACAATACAAATTCTACCTGAACTTGTGTCCGTTTCTTGCCACAGTTTTATGGTTGCCTGACATATTACCCCAACCTTTGCCTCAAAAAATAAACTAGAATTTTTTGTCTCAATATTCATCAATCGATATTCATTTTATGTTGACAATTTTTGTTCATGTTTTGATTGAGTTATGGAAATCAAATTAGTTGAATTGAATTGAATTTAAAAGTGAATGAAATGTAGATATAAATATATAAAAGAAACCTCCATACCAGTATAAATATCTTTTTAATTCATTTATTAACGGGGGAATCCAGAATAAGCTCCGACAGCTTTGCGAAAAAGATGTTGAATGTGACGAAAAATATTTAAAGTATCGATAGCTGGTTGGACAATTGCCCTGTCTATCTGTTGTTGGTAGTTGATGCTTGTCAGGCCTGAAATGTTGTTCCCTTGTTCGGGGAGGGGGGGGGGGGGGAGCAAAGTTTAATTTCCGATAAAAGTCGCATGTCATGAAGCTGTATTGACATGTCCGATTTGTTCCACCTGTAATCTTGTCCTGTATATTACGTGTGTCATGTATGATATATACAGTATCTTTTTCTCTCTCTTTTTCTCTGTGAAGCTCTTTACTTATTCTGTGAATCAGTTAAGGCGCAGGTAGGGGGCAGTCAAGATAGCACATCCGAAGGATCTAGCGTGCATCGAAGTGAAGCTGAACGAAACGGTCATGGTACGTTTCGCAATGCCGAAGCTCAGAATGGCAATAAAAAGCGATTGGCGAATGAAAGGCAGTCTTCAACGCAACCCAGCCAAGCGAGCATGTACGTAACAGCGATTAAACTGTCCCACCTTCGCAGTAATTCACCAAATTAAAAAAAGCTCTCAATTTTCCCGAGATATCGACCAACAGACGCCTGTCAGTGGGCTTTCCTGCTATAAATCATTAAAACGATGTCAGAACGTATCAGTACGCAATATGGCAGTATGTCGAATTCTTATCTCTCGAAAAGATTCGAGATTAAACGTGATTCTTTCAACGGAAAATAATTAATCCGCCATCCGACACAGTGAACCAACTGTCCAAGTGTCCATGAACGAAGGTTCGTTCGACACACCAAAGATTCTTCATAGCCTCTTGCTTAAGCCCACCTCCATGATATAATTTATAGATAAGAATGAGAACACCAAAAACCAGAATTTATTTGCATTTAAGCCCTCGATCGAGTAAGAAGCCGACTCGGCCTCAAATCGTAAACAATCGCAGTACTGATCTGACATCACTGCGATTCTGAGCCGATTGTTCTTTTTTATCCTGCAAGAAAGCACGAAATCCTTTAAGATTGAGATAAGTGTAATCATATCAATATTACAATTTCAGTTATTAAAAATGTACATGTACATGTTTGACTGATCATCACGTGCTATTGCATGTTCTTTCAAAATCACAGTCAGATTGTAGAGCTGTGCGATGGGCTACCTAAACATTCTTAAACAAGAACCAAGAAATATAATTTTGTAAATATAATTTTCTAAATATAACGTTAATAATGTCTGTTTTGTAGGTCAAACGAAGAAAGCTACATCCGGTGGTTCTCACCAGACACTTCAAGCTAGCGTGGATGAAAGGGAACTAAATCCATCGAGGGAAGCATCTCCCATAGGACAGCAAAGACCAGGCACATCTAACTTGGCGGCAGCGGCACACACCCATAGTTCACCATCGCCTCGTCGTATCTCAATCTCAGTCTGTTCTTCCGCCTACGAGCACAACGTCGAAGGGTTCATGTCCAAGCTTACCAAGTTGCTAGCCGCACAGCCTCATATGATCGCCGACGTCCGTTTCCGGAGCCTACCGTACAACGACATAGATTCATTCAGGTTTCCGTCAAACGACCCCGTTGATGTGATGGTCCTCTGCCATTCAGTCCAAAATCGAGGGTTCTCAATCACCAATGTACTGAATGCTCTCTACGAAAAATATCTGCAATATTGCCATGATGTGATTGGTAAGTTAATACCTTTTAAACGATGACGTTGTAATTTTGATATCGGTTATAGCTCCATCCATGTTGACAGATTTCTTGTTCGTTCTTTCTTACGTTCAAGATTGTTTCATCAAATTCCTAATCTTATCTGTTTATTTTTACAATTTGTTTTCCCCTTTGGTACATATTCATGATAAGTTACATTTAAACTCTGACTTGAGTGTTATGGAGTCGTACTCAAAATAGAGACGATCTTCCCTCACGACTAGTTTACCTACCATCTTTAGGGTCCTTTTTCCCAAATAATGATCATGCTTTCACTCATGAAAGTTTATACTGTAACCTTAGCTTTCATTTAATTTTTCCAAACTCTAATTAGTTTATCGTCGTTCAAGAGTCGCTGCAGACATCAAATGTTTTAATCAGGACATAGAAATCGGCTCGAAAAAAAGATATTACAGATGAGAGTTTAAATTTGATGGTGAAACGATCGTAGATCAAATCAACATCTACCTCTTCATTTTCCTACAATATTTCAGGAAAAAAGAAGCTGGCCGTGATTGTTCACGATTTTAGCGACTGCAAACCACAGACCCTTGATGTCAGGATGGAATCGTTCAGGAGGTCACAACCTTTGACATTTGAGCTCGTTGACACCGTGATCGTATGCGGTAGCCTGGGGAAACCAGGCAAAATAGAAATAAGAGATGAAGATATGACACGACTTACAACCTTCTTCTTCGAGAACAATGCCGACGATCAATCATTAATAAAAAGCCTGCAAGGCACATCCGGCGGTTTTCACCAGACACCACAAGCTAGCATGGATGAAAGGAACCAAAATACACCGAGGGAAGCATCACTCATAGGGCAGCAAAGACCAGGCACATCAGACGCGGCGGCAGCGGCAAACAACCGAGGTTCACCTGGCCAGCAGCCCAAGGCTTCTAGAATGACTGTCACATCTGCACCACTAATGTCAACACCATCGCCACGTCGTATCTCAATCTCAATCTCTGTTCTTGCACCTACGAGCAGAACGTCAAAGGGTTCATGTCCCAGCTTACCAAGTTGCTAGCCGCACAGCCTTATGTGATCGCCGACGTCCGTTTCCGGAGCCTACCGTACGCAGACATTGATTCATTCAGGTTTCCGTCAAACGACCCCGTTGATGTGATGGTCCTCTGCCATTCGGTACAAAATCGAGAGTTTTCAATCACCAATGTACTGAATGCTCTCTACGAAAAATATCTGCAATATTGCCATGATATAATTGGTAAGTTAATACTTTTTTTAAATGACGTCGTAATAGATTTCTTGTTTCTTGTTTCCAATGTTTAAGCTTGTTTTATGCAAAGTGTTATCTTTTTAAAAATCTGTATATGTTTATTTTGACAATTTCAATTGGTACACAGTCATGATTATGTATAATTCAAATTCTGACATAAGTGTTGTTGGGACCGCGCACATAATAGAGACGAACTTTTTTCACGACTAGTTTACCAGTTCAAGGGATCTTTCTCCAGAATATGGTTCATGCATTAGCTCATGAAAGTTGATACTGTAACCTTTAGCTTCCATATAATCTTTCCACACTCTAATCAACTTACCTTCGTTCGCGAATCGCTGAAGACGTCAAATTTAATAATCAGGACACCGAAATTGGATTGAATATAAACACAAATCAATGTTCAGAGTTTGAAGTTGTCTTTGAAACGATAGTGGGTGATAATAAAAAATCTACCCTTTTCTTCTTCTTTAATATTTTAGGAAAGAAGAAGCTGGCTTTGATTGTCCATGATTTTAGCGACTGCAAACCAAAGATCCTTAATGCCAGGATAGAATCGTTCAGGAGGTTACAACCTTTGACATTTGAGCTCGTTGACACCGTGATCGGATGCGGTAGCCTGGAGGTCCCAGGAAAAATAGAAATGAGAGATGAAGATATGACACGACTTGCCATCTTCTTCGAAAGAGCGCGGTTTGAGCCCAAAAACAATACTGCCGACGTTCGGTCATTAATGAAAAGCCTCCGAGGAATGTTCAAGTAATAACCAGCAGAAACTAAAAAGGAATCGAAAGTAGGAGAAGAAGAGGTAAAATCGACGAGGGCGCAGAAATGGATAATATTTCACATCTGTTACAAGTAATTACTGCAACCCCTGACCCCCCCCCCCACGCACACATAATCATTTCTCCCCACTCATCACTCACAAAATTACGTGATTTGTTATCATTATACCCTGTTTACATGACACTGTACATATGTCAAAGGTCATTGTGAATACATCAAAGGCCATCGTGCATACATCAAAGGTCATTTTACTTTCGCCTAAGGTCATTCTTTATATATCAACGTTTTTCCTTCCCACTCAACACACACTATTTTATGTGACGTCTTATCCTTATGGTTAACCAAATCGTTATCCTTGCCATTATAAAGAACAGCCTAGTGCAATCTTTTTCCTCCATTTTTTAAACAACTTTTGGAGGGCTTTCATTTGCTTTTGTCTACATTACAATAAATTAGTGTAATGTAGACTATAAAACTCAATACATGTACCTCTTGACTCGATTTGATGATATTTTCCTGAAAACATAACGCTTGTGACTGCCGCATTGCTGAGAGTAAATGTAAATATATATATATATTCGTGTATTATTTCACTGTTGATCGTGTACTAGGAACTGCTTTGCATAAAATGCGTATATTGGCTTCTCATTAGAGTATGGAAACGTTACAATAAGAACTGTACCGTGAGCGTAAAGCATACAACTACCGATGATGTAACATTTTCACGACATACTTATATCGACTTTATAATAATAGTGATACTGTATTTCGCCCATTTGAAACCTAAGCATTTAGTAAGCGTAATGTGCCAAAAGATTCATTGAATGCTTTGCGTTGAAATAACTCGTTTCTTTTACGCGTTTTTGTATACTTCATGATCAATAAATGAATCGATTCTCCATGTCCTGTTGCTAAAAAAAAAACAGTGGAATATACTTTCTCTCTTGATGGAATACATTTTGGGGAAACAGGATTTTATCACTAACCATTATGATTATACTGACTACACTAAAGGGAAAAAAAAAGAACTTGTGTGCCTTTTAATATTTACATTATTTCTTGAAGTTGACGGAGTTATATGTAGATGTAAATGGCGTATGAAGAGTATGCAAAAACAGTGGTATTTCCCTGTGATGTATAGAAATGTGTAACTTTATAACGGCATTGTACATTTCATTCAGTTCAGAAAAAGTGGATGGATTATAAATTCTTCCTTTCGATTGAACTAATCTAAATTCTATCCGTGGTTGATTTCCATGGTAATGACTCAATCTACACACGCGTACATTCTACTGTATAAGTATATAAAAAGTATAACAATTTAACATTATGTTGTGTCAATAAGTGGTCTATCAATTGTACAGATTCCCGGTTATTGTTTCGAATGTGACAAAATTACACGTAGATCTCATTATTATTGTTATATGATGAATATACATGTTTATCACAAGTCCTTCATCAAAAGAGTGGTGTTAAAAAATAAAGAGGGGGGGGGGGAACAATTATAGCTACTCAACTGCTTAAATGCATATAATGCGATATCAATACAATAAATAATACATATATTCAGGATTGTTTTTCTTTCTTTTGGTGTTGTTGCTATATATGATATTGTTTTATATAATGTTAAGTTGCCTTTATTTTGCTTATATTACATGTACTTAAATTTGGTATACCGCGATGGTAGTTAGTGTATCTTCTGTTAATGCCGTATAATAGCCAAACGGGGATTTGTTCTCTGAAAGTTTGTATCTAAATGCTCATATAAGGATAAAAGGGTACGAGTTGTCACTTTATTATCTCATAGAATGTTCATTTTATCTTATTTGGCTTGTATGTATTGCTTAAATTCAGTATACCGCTGTGATAAGGGATCAATATGTTTTTGTCTATTCCGCCTCATAGGAAGACGGGAATTTCATGTTCTCGGAAAATTGGAATCTCAATGATCATACAAGGAAAAAAGTACGAGTACATGTATCATGAATGACAAAGCGATGTGTTCAGTACAACTATCTCTATCAGCACTCAGCTATCGGTGAAAACAGCCGAATGTTACTCTGTTGAAATTCACATGTTTCTATTCTCTAGATAATATTCAATTGCGTACTTTCAAAAGTCATGATTTCAGCTCCTCTTTTTTGGTGAAATAAAAATGTGACAAAACCCTCGCACTTCATTCTTGTAGCGTGTTTATCTTTCCAACGTGATGTAGGAGTATCAAATATATGTGAAAGGTGACACAAGGTTTATTTAAAGGTGACCCATGCAATGCTCATGTACATTGTGCAGATCTGTATCAGCAAAACTGTCGACTGTTTGATCAAAATAAATATATATATATTTTAGAATTATCTCATATTTTACCACAGCCTGATAAGCCCCGCCTATACAAATCCCCAAATCTTTTTGTGCATGCCTCTTTTGATATCACAGCAAGCTGAAATGAGCATAATACTCAAAGGATTGTGCATTTTACCGTACATAGGTGCACTTGCAATAGCGACGTCACAGGCTTTTATACAATATCATCTAACACTATTTCTTGTCGGCCGATACTGGAACCTGTCTGACATATCAGTGGCTGTTGAAGTTGTGAGTGTAAACACTGATTGTTGACATTTACCGAAGATGCGAAGGTTAAGGCTTGCAATAAAATGCAGATTCCCATGCAATGATACCGACGAGACCGATACGAGACCGACAACACACCGCATGATACATTCCATTCTCACAATCGATTGATTTGATTGCGTGGTTGCTTTTATTCATATTTCAGGAAAAAATAACAAAGCGTAATACATTTTACAAAACATTTACATATCTTTAAGTAATATAGAAATAAATAATACTGAATCGTATTAATTAATAACATGAAAAAACGTTCTATAGATCATTAAAGGTATAGACCAGTTTTGGAAACGCTTCCCTCTCAAAAAATGAAATGGAAGCTCTTATTACCAATCGTGTGAAAGAATATGTTTTGACTAATACGTGATGATACATATTTTGCCGGGAAATCGCCTACTAATTGAGATATTTGGTAAATTATCATATCGATCCGACCTGGATAGATATCGCGAATGCACTTCCACATTGAACATTTGGGCATATATTTCTGATTTTTTTTTGCGTACTTAGGTTGAAGTATTGCCATCTAAACCTCTGAAGGCAATATTAAAACAATATTGAATGGATATTTTGCATCCAAAACCCTTGAACCGCAATTTTAACAATACCGGTCTATATCTTTAAATATAAAAAATTGCAAGTGAACCTTCTTAAAAGTTTAAGGCTTAATGCGTGTAGGTTCACTGAATTACACTACTGACTTATATACAGGAAAAAAAGAAAAAGAATATACATACGCTAGGCTGAGACATAAAGATAAATGAAACAAAATACAACATGTTACAGTGGGGGAGAGAGATAGAAAAAAAGGGATAGATAAGTGGATAGATAGGTTGATATAATAGATATTTAGGTGAGGGGATAGATAGAGATAGCGAGAGAGAAATCGATGTCTCCGAGACAACACTTTGGATCGGCTGTGCAGACCAACTGTATCACAAAATGGGACTTACCAATTTATTTTGTTCAGGTATTTTTAAGGAAAACATAAATATACACATGGCACAAATAAACATGTACTTGCTTGGTACCATAGGATGTGCTCACATGAGAAGTGCTGAATAGCACATTTCGTACCCCGCGAAGTTGTGAGTCATGCATGCCTGCCCAGACGATGCTTTGCTGGAGTAAATGTGTGACTGTGTTGTCAACATCATACGTTGTCCAGGTAACATTGTTCTCTTGTTCAGACTCACTTTGTGTATATAATTTTGTAATTTAATTTAAAAAAATGATCACGAGCGGCTAATACAGTTTAAATGCTGGCGAATAAAGGTTCTCCGCTAAAGAGGGGGAGGGGGGGGGGGTACAGTGTCAAAAGTGCTTACCAGCAAAATTGCTTACATAACATACAGACCAATAAACAAAAAACAATGAAGGCCCGGCGCACACTACACGATATGTGATCAGATTTGGGAAGAATTTGCAATAGCATTTGATATGAATATATAAGCTTGTAAAATCTGAATTAGCGAGGATCTGGATAGTCATATGATTGATAAAATCTCAGTTTCCAGGGCCAAGCTGGCTAGGTCTTGCCAGAGACGAGCCAGGCATAACATCAGATGATGTATGAAAAATGCATTTCATCTAAAGCCATGTTATTATGCTTCTATAATGATGATCTCAAAGTATGTAAAACAATTTATACCAAAAGTTTTAATAATAGGCGGATAATTTTTATTTTCTTATTAGAAACAATGATAACAGTCACAGGCTGAGTAGGAGACTAATTTTGGAACGCTCTGGTTGACCGCGGAAATTCCCCGTTTCTTGAAATACAGAGTGAGTCAGAAAAAGTGTCCCTATATTTCTTGCATTGTCTATTTCCAATTTTCTGTCTAACTTCCATCATTAAAAGAATCTCCTCTGTCATCCATTTGTTCCTTCTTTTTCTTTCTTTTTTCGGCACATACTCTCCCGCTGTTTCTACCAGAATATTTCTCATCGTCTCCCACGTGCTTTCTTCACCTTCATCTATGAGCAACTTAAACCTATTCTTTACTTGTACAGTATATTCTTGACGTATGTCCGGTTTACTCAGCTGTTTAAAATCCAATATTTTCACAACTTTTGGTCTCTTGAGTTTCTTTAATTTGCACTGAAGTGTATATATCA